ATCCTCTCATCACCGGAAGTGGTCTAGAAATTTGACAAAATTCTGAAAAATGGGTGCCTGTGCGCCAAATGCGATGTATCAATTGGTTGTTTACCGAGTACTTAAAGTATTATGTCGTATGATAGCCACGTGAATTATCTACAAAGTGGTGCTATAGCAACAAGATTTTATTGCCAACTAAAAAATTTATGGGTCTTTGAAAAGTAAGGTTATTTACGATTTCGATCACGTTTAAACCCATGTTTCTCGGAAAAGCCGGGGGGTTGGATGGCTGAATGGTTAGCGTGCGCGCGTTGTATCATAAAGTCTGTCATTGAGTCGACTGGCGTGGTTTCGAATCCCCGGTTGTACGTGGCAAGGAGTAGGGACGCCTGTCCAACCTCGTGGGTTTTCTCCGGGGCCTCCGGTTTCCTCCCACTGCTAAAGACCCCTACGCGCAAGCGAATTATGTAAATAAAAATTAAACCATATGTTAGTCCCGAAATGACCTAGTTTGTGTCGAGTGGACGTTAAACCCCATTTCTCTCTCTCTCTCTCTCTCTCTCTCTCGGAAAAGCCGCCAATGATTTTTTTCAAACTTGCTCAATCGAGATTCTACTGGGTAGTGTATTGTGTGAAAGGGCCACAATCTTTGAAAAGAAGTCGAAAAATCGTTATATCTGTAAATCTGCTTCTAATTTTATAAGGGAGGTAAAACTGTCCAATGGATCTTTCTGAAACTTCTGGTACAGGGAATTAAGTTCCCATACCACTTGCTAAATCTATCCCGATAATGATCCGTAAACAGGAAGTAGTCAAATAAATATTCGATATTTAAAAAAAAAGACAGTAAAAAAATCGGTGCTCTTGCAACAATCGGGATTTCACCGTCGGGTGTGACCGGATCAAAACATCTAAAGTATCGTTTGGTAGCTCGATAAATGGGCTATTGTATGACACACTTCCTGTCTGATTCCTGAAAGCCGGTTCAGTGCTGCTTGCAGGTCTAGTTATTTATTATTATTATTTTTTTTTTCGCCATAGCCTATTTCTCAGTGCTTGTAACAGATACCAATATGGAACCTAATTTCCTATCGGAAACCATGTGGTGGCTACTTGATAAACTATTTTTGAAACTTCTGCGTCGACCGGAAGTGGCCGAATTTCGTGCGGTGCATAAAAATTAAAAAACGGCCGTAGCTTCGTCAATTCTGTACCTATTTTCATACAAATACGATAGCAGTTGAAAATTTTGAAATTTCGAAAAATGAAAAATTTTGTTTAAAAGACAATTTTTGTTATTTTTAAAAAATTTCAAATTTGACCTACATTTTTGGATACCTGAAGACCACCCGATTCCAGAAATATAAGTTTCATTCCGAGTTATCGCCCTTTATTTTTCGATTTTTTTCGAATTTTCTGCCCATTTCCCAACCCTTATATTTTTTGGAAAGGATAAATCGATAGTTCTGAAAGTCCTGGAACATAAAGCTATATTGTCAGACCGCTGCATAAAGCAATTTCAAAAACGATCCGGAAACCGGAAGTAGTCGAAATAATGATAGATATTTCGAAAAAAAAAGCAAAAAATGGGTGTTTTGGGGAAAAACTCGATTTCTCCATCCAATATCAATGGATTAAACGAATTAAGCTTTCGTTGAGTGGCCCGAGGAATGGACTGTCGTATGATGCCCAATTTATACGGATACTATGACCAAGCAGCAAAATATGACAAACTGAAAATCAAGTATTTTCTGATTTGGGGCGTTTTTGGACGCCTGTATCTCGAAATCTTAACAGCAACTTTTTTTTTAACTTTCTCTATCGAGAGTCCATTCGATAGTCTTGTGAATTATGCCATCCAATAAGACTTTGAAATGTCTGAAATACGATAAAAAAGGGACTGAAAATCGAAAAAAGTCGAAAAATCGTGAAATTTTGCAAAATGCTCTATTACTTTATTATTTAAACAAATTTTTACAAAAAGATTACAGATTCGGATAGCTGACCTAATTACGATTCTAACGATGTATAATATGTATTGAGTTATTGAAATTTAATTTTCGATATTTTGACATTTTTGCATTTTTGGCACCTTTGAACATAGGATTTCTCAGGGTCATTTTATCTGATCAGATAATGTAATATATCATTACAGAGCCCTGCCGCTATTTAATTGCCCAAACTGGTTAGTAAAACTATTCCGACAATAATCTCCATACCGGAAGTATTCAAAAAATGAAAAAAAAAGGTTAAGAAATTGTCGCTCTTGCGAAAAGCTGGATTTCTCGGTCAGATATTACCGGACCAAAAGAAGTAAAGTGTCTTTGGATAGCCCCATTAATGGACTATTATATGGCATCTCAATGGTACGATTTCGATGGTTAGAAAATAAATTGTGGTACGCCGAAAATCTAGTATTTTCCGTTTTTGGAGCCTTTTTAGACGTCTTTTTCTCGAAAACGACAACTCCGATATTTCTGAACCTTTTTTAACGCAGAGTCATATGGGTGGGCTATGGCGTGAGTCCAACAATAAAAGCATTGAAATAACATAAGTTGTCCAAAAAGAGCCTCAATCCTTGAAAAAAGTTGAAAAATCCTTAGATTACTGAAAATGATCTTCTAATTTTCTTTCTTTGGAAAACAGCTGAATGGATCATTCTGAAACCTCTTGTACAGAAGGTAAGGTAACCAAACAACTTGTTAAAGGTATCCCGACAATGATCCAAAAAACGGAAGTAGTCGAAAAAATTTCGGATATTTTGAGAAAAAAAACCCGTAAAAATTAAAAAAATGGAGATTTTGCGAAAAAAGTGATTACTACGACAGATTTCACCGAATCAAAACAACTAAAGTGTCATTGGATAGTTCGAACAATGGACAATCTTATGAGATCTAAATGGTAAAAATTCGCGGGTTAGGCAATATATAATGGAACGCTGAAAATCTATTATTTTCCTTTTTGGAGCCTATTCAGACGCTTTTATTTCGAAAATTTTTCTTATTTCCTTTCTTAAACTTCTGTTACTTAGAGTCCTAACGGTGGTCTATGGTGTGAATCCAAATTTAAAAGCCTCAATATAGAATATATAGTCCAAAAGGGCCACAATCTTTGAAAAGAAGTCGAAAAATCGTTGTATCTGTAAATCTGCTTCTAATGGTATAAGGGAGGTAAAACTGTCCAATGGGTCTTTCTGAAACTTCCGGTACAGGAAATTAAGTTCCCAAACCACTTGTTAAATCTATCCCGATAATGATCCGTAAACAGGAAGTAGTCAAATAAATATTCGATATTTAAAAAAAAAAAGACAGTAAAAAAAATCGGTGCTCTTGCAACAATCGGGATTTCACCGTCGGGTGTGACCGGATCAAAACATCGAAAGTATCGTTTGGTAGCTCGATAAATGGGCTATTGTATGACACACTTCCTGTCTGATTCCTGAAAGCCGGTTCAGTGCTGCTTGCAGGTCTAGTTATTTATTATTATTATTTTTTTTTTTTTGCCATAGCCTATTTCTCAGTGCCTGTAACAGATACCGATATGGGACCTAATTTTCTATAGGGAAATCATGTAGTGGCTACTTGATAAACTATTTTTGAAACTTCTGCGCAGACCGGAAGTGGCCGAATTTCGTGCGTTGCATAAAAATTAAAAAACGGTCGTAGCTTCGTCAATTCTGTAACTATTTTCATACAAATGACATTTTCAGAAACCCTGAGTCTTTTCTCGGACGATAGCAGTTGAAAATTTCGAAACTTCGTCGCTGACTTCTAGCGTTCGAAAAATGAAAAATTTTGTTTAACAGATAATTTTTGTTATTTTTCAAAATTTTCAAATTTGACCTACATTTTTGGATACCTGAAGACCATCCGATTCCAGAAATATAACTTTCATTCCGAGTTATCGCTCTTTATTTTTCGATTTTTTTCGAATTTTCTGCCCATTTCCCAACCCTTATATTTTTTGGAAAAGATAATTCGATATTTCTGAAAGTCCTGGAACATAAAGCTATATAGTCAGACCGCTGCATAAAGCAATTTCAACAACGATCCGAAAACCGGAAGTAGTCGAAATAATGATAGATATTTCGAAAAAAAATGGGTGTTATGGGGAAAAACCTGATTTCTCAGTCCAATATCAATGGATTAAACGAATTAAGCTTTCGTTGAGTGGCCCGAGGAATGGACTGTCGTATGATGCCCAATTTATACGGATACTATGACCAAGCAGCAAAATATGACAAGCTGAAAATCAAGTATTTTCTGATTTGGGGCGTTTTTGGACGCCTGTATCTCGAAATCTTAACAGCAACTTTTTTTTTAACTTTCTCTATCGAGAGTCCATTCGATAGTCTTGTGAATTATGCCATCCAATCAGACTTTGAAATGTCTGAAATACGATAAAAAAGGGACTGCAACTATTTATTTTGGTACATGTCCTGACCCCCCCCCCCCCCAATAGGTGTAGTACCACACACACACTTGTTAATTTTTTGTATGTAAATACTCTACAGGTTGCAATAATTAACAGATTTTGTTCAAATTCATCATATCAATCATTTCAATAACAGAGTGGTACTTATTTATATTGTTCCAAATCCAACCCCCCCCCCCCCCAGGGCAGAGCCACGACTAATTTTTGTATTTATCTTCTACAAGCTTCAATTCTGAATGGACCATCTTGGAACTTTGTATATTTATTCCTTATACGGCAAAGACAGCAACTATTTATTTTTGTGCATGCTCCACCCCTGGGGCGGTGTCACACCCACTTTTTTGTCAGTATATAGTCTCCAAATTTAGCAAAACAAACCCATATCAATGAAAGCAGGAATGTGGACGTATATTGCAGCGTTAGCGATGCTCTGGTGTTTATTTTTTGGTCTAGTATTGGTGCATTTTAATTTTTTTTAGTCAATATAAGCATAATTTTGTATACGTGGGGAACTATAGTTGAAATCTGAGAAGCATATGATCAAGTCTTTATATACTTTTTTTTAAACTTTTCAAATTTGATAGGAGCGAGTGAAGGAGGCATCATCAAAGATATTCCATACAGGTGAAGAAGATGAAGAGATGATAGAAGAAATAAAACCAAAGAAAAAAACAGGTAAAAAAAAGAAAAGTGGAAAGGGTAAGAAATCTAAGAAAGCAGTGGAAGCAGAACCTCTTGACAGAAAGAAGAGTTATGCTATAGAACGTGAATCAATTAGAGAACAACGTAGATTAGAAAAAGAGGTAAAAAATAATTGTATTTGTTTGTAACATGGCCCGTTACAGATATTATAATTACTATATTGCCAGGAATGCACTGGAATTGTACCAATAATATATATATAATAGAGCAATTATTAAAGATAGCAAGTTTCCTTTTGATATGTGACATAGTTCATTTTGTAAATGATTCAATAACCTTGTACTAATATATTTGTAGGGACGTATAAAAGAGATGAAAGAGTTACAGGAAAAAATAATGTCGAGACAAATAGAAAGAAAAACTAGGGAAGATGAAGCAGAACATAGAGCTCAGGTATGTAGAAAATATTTGTTTACACTTATTTACTCATAACCGCATTATCTTTATTATCTATCTATATCAAATTAATTTAGCTTATATGATCAGGGCAGTATTTAGAGGACCTGGGTCATTGCACTTGTGAGGCCCCTCCCAATCGCCCACCCTTGCAACTAGACTGTGGAAAGACATAAATGACTTAAGATGTCATTGATAATTACTTTACTGATTGAAAAAAAGGTGCGTTAAACTTTACAATGGGAAAATACTTTTGCAATAACCATACTTTGTGAAGATTGTGGAATAAGTTTTTTAAGAAAATGAAATGGTAAGTTTACTCTTAAGAAATTCTTTAATTAAAAACCCCTAAAAACTTGAATTTACAAATTGTATTGCCTGGGAAGTATTAATAGGATGATCATGACTACCTGACAATGACAGTGTGATACTTTTAGATGCTACTAGTTGACATTAAACAGTCAGTTTTAAAATACTGAAAAAAAGAAACTGCAACCGTCAAATACAATAATACTTATAATTTGATAAAGGTCTGTATGAGATGGAGAGTGCTTTCTCCTAGACTATGGCTTTGTCAGTAAGTTTCAGGTCAACATCTTCTGGATATGCTTCCATCAACAGTTCAACACCTTGCTAAATTCCTTGCTTAGATGCTGCCAGATTAGCAAGAAAGAACATTTGTGCAACATCACTGTACATTTCGTAACATCTCTGTACACAGTAGCTCTTCTTAAATTGGTTTCAAATGCATCACATGACAGCATGTGCCAGAAAGGCCTAGGACCGAGCTTAATAACCATACTGAACTGACCATGATTCCAAGAACATATTAATATACTAACTTATTTGACTTAAATGTTTCAATTTTTGATAAAATATGTGTGTCCCATTAATATTTCTGTCCCTTTAAAGGCCCTGGCAGATGAGCAGTTAGCTTTACAAAAGGAAGCAGCCGCCATTAAACGCGATGAAGAAGAAGCCAGACAACAATTGGCTGCAATAAGACAAACTCAGAGAGCAGAGCGTGATACCAGGAGAAAAGCTGAACAAGAAAGAAGAAGACGGTTAGTGATAGCTAGACGACAAAAAGAAAAGGAGATGAGAGAAAAAGCAAGACAAAAAGAATTAGAAATGTTGGAGAGAATTGGTGATGCTGAAACCAGGTGGGAGTTGATAGGGGAAGAAGAAAAGAAAATGGAAGAAGAAGAAAGAGTAGCTCTAGAGAGTTTAGAGGTTTTTATTTTTCACATTATTATAAAACTTTTTATTTTAACCATGTTATCTTCCCAAATAAAGTGTAGTGCCAGATCATCTTTAGGAAATAAGTATTAAAGACCCTTTTCAGGTAGCTGTGATACAAGGAAACCGTCCGAATGCCATATACCAGTGTCAGGTAGTCTCAACAAAAAGTAATAAAAAAAAAACATTCATGTGCCAAATATCAAATCAATTAGAATCACGAAGCTAGAAACAATCTTGTTATATCGATATCATATATGTAATGAAACACATTGTGAGTTGATGTGTTTTTGACAGATTAGACTACACATTAAGTCAACCAAACCAATGTCGACTGAAATCTATATTATTTATCACCCAATAATACATTCTACAGTAGATATCGCTTGTCTGATAAATTTCATAATCTACTGCGATATCTCCTTACATGAATTTGATTGGTCAGTTCAAAATGATGTATCACTACGCCGTAATGTAATCAGGTTCAGTAAAATTGAAATCTACAGCGAAGAATTATATTTGTGCATGTAAGAAGGGATTGGGTGATAAATAAAATCTCCTACTTGTCTTTTTTCATACCAAAAAGACTCGTAGGAGATTCTCTATATGTTTTTAATATTCTCCATATTAAGAGTTTACCACATGTATCTATTATATTTTTACAGGAAGAACTAAATGAGCAACAGCTTTTATTAGAAGAAGAAGAAATAAGAGCAAGAGAATTTGAAACAGAGGTTTGTAATTATTATCAGCCATGACAAATTAAAAGTTAATATAGAGTAGAGTGTATCAAATATGGCTTGGGAATTCAATGCACAAAGTACGTTTTAAAAAACTTGTGTCCTTTTGGCAACGCTAAACCTTAATTCAGTTGTGTGACGAAGATACCAGAACACACATATTACTCTACAAAAATAGTAGGGGATATTCAGAAACAATTCAAAACTGCGGAAATGCACTGCTGTTTTTATTAGAGGTAACCAGTGTTTGATATGCTGTATTCGTTACTCCTCGGTTTTATGGAAAATACGACTAACGAATTGGTAAATAGCGTTCGTAACTACAAAAACTGGCTCGGAAGTCTTGATTTCTACTGGAGAACTGGGGTAGCTAAAACTATATCGAGTTCACGATATATGACGTAATAAGATGGCAGTTATACTATACGGTAATTATACGATTTTTGTAGTTATTTGTTTGTTGTGGATGTGCATATCGGTCTGAATACGTGATTTATAGAATTTTACATACTGGGATACATTTTCTGAACAATGACAAGAAACACATTAAACTGAAAACAAGAAAAATCCGGGTTTCCGTTTTGTACTAACTTGTTAAAAATTATTATACTGTACAGCAGTTCAGGTTTTAGGACGGTACGGTCTATTATCAATCAACAAAAATGTTCCAGTTACTGTGGTTTAACGCCCACTCGGCACAAACTAGATCTTTTCGGGACTTGCGTCCTACATTTCTTTGAATTTAAAATGTCTACATACCGTAACAATTAATAGGGCATATGCTAAGCTAATTGACCGTGCCTCTCATTGACTTTATCTAATTTTTCACGGCTTAATGTACGATAAATTATTCTTAGGTTGATTATTTAACATTTAATTAAGAAAACTAAACCAATATAGACCATCAACGGTTATGTAGATATTTCTTAGCTTGAATTCAATCGGATTTAAAAGAGGCCCATCAAAAGATTGATCAATAATTAAGGGTTGCACTGGCCTGTTTCTATCGTTTGCCGAACGATGATAAATTTTCAATTCATCATATCTTTGTAAATACTGAATCGAACTGAAACGTCTTTGGACTGATATTCCTTTTAGGGATTTAAATTTCACTAATGTCAGTAATGGTCATTAGGGGTTTTAATAATCCTTGAAGGGATAATGACAGCCATGTTGATTTTCCCACTTGTGCACCCGAACACGACAAGTGTGGTATTTACTATTTCTTAGTGCAAAACACTATATTTCCAAGCGGTAACGAATACAGCATTAGTAACAGGCCAATTGACTACGCATGAACATAAACAGTTCATATGGGGGGCTTATCTGACGGCCCCATTTCACTCGCAAAATAAGAGAAAATGGACGTTTTTGATTTTTGTCTTAATCAGTAATTGCTCCACCAATCCTCAGACATTCAGCAGTTCGTCGTGGCATGCTCCAAATCAACCGTCCAATCACGATTTGGGGCAATCTGACCCACACTTCTTGCCGTGCCACGGCCAATTCTTGCAGTTGACGTCGACGAACACATCTCCCGATCATGTCCCATACATGCTCTATAGGGGAAAGGTCAGGACTCATGGCTGACCAAGGCATATGGACAATACGGTGACGCTGGAGGTGGTGCACTTTCTCGTTCACTGATTTTGTATCCCCCGTGCCCTGGAATGGCTATGTTTTGTACATACGAAAAAGCATTTGTTTGAATTGAAATGGTCATTTATTTGCCTCATATCATTGACTAATAACAAATACTGGGCAAAATAAATAACACAATTTTTCCAACATGGAAATGAAACATACTAAAACATAAAATATATTAATATCAAAATGGTTCAATATAGCACAAATACAATTTAAACATGCATTAAGTGTCCCCTTGTGCAAAAGATGGGGTATCTACTACGGCACCAAAAAAAACCCCAAAACATGTTCATAATTAATACTTATAAAATTCACCCTTATTCAAAATTGCAATGGCAATTGAGAAGAAATAAAAGGTATAAAAACTAGGTATAAAATCCACAATTATAGAAAAAGCAAGGAAAAGTAAACAAACAATTGAAAATCGTTATATGTGTAAAAACTAACTGGTGGAGGAGGGGAAGGAAGGTGGTGTTGACAACTCTTATCTTAAAAAAAACCTGTACTATTTGTGTTGACAACATTTTCTTTGCTGCAGTCTTGCCTCGTGCTTTGTTCAAAATGAAGCAGTTGAGGAATGATAAAAAGAGTTACCTCCCCTGCACTGCAATACAAATTCTATTTCACAATATGAAATAGATCTTATTCAGTTAATAGATTGCCATGCAGAAAGTGTTAAATACCATCAAGATTCATCAAAAACCGCCCAGTTTGAGCTACCGTTTAGTTTGACATTGGTTGTCTAGTTTATGAAACTAAATGGTCATAAACTGGATGACCAATATCAAAACTAAACTAAATGGTCATAAACTAGATGACCGATGTCAAAACTAAATGGTGTTTCTTAAACTAAAAGGTAGCAAAAACTGGGCGTTATTTGATGAATCTTGATGGTATTTAATACTTTCTGCATGGCAATCTATTAACTGAATATGTGTATTAGATTATAGATGGTAAGCTCAGTTTCTTTCCTTTTTTCATCAAATCTGAATGATACCCGGTCCCTAGTGTAAAGACCCCTACGCGCAAGCGAATTATTGAAATAAAATTGAAACATATGTTAGTTCCGAAATCTCTCTCTCAACGCTTTCGGGCCACCAACACCACTGATGATCGCCCCCGAACTGGTAGACCAAGGGTTACCACAAGGCGACAAGACCGCCATGTTGGGCGACAGCACGTGCAGATATAGTGCGCCGACGTCTCACCCGAGAGAACATCCAATGCCGTAGACCTTACCATGCACCGTTCCTCACCCCTCGTCATCGACGTGAACGTCTACAGTTTGCCCAACAGCACCAGAACTGGCGACACAGGCGATGGAGAACTGTTCTGTTTCACAGATGAATCGGTATTGCGTATCAACTGTAGATGGCAGGACCAGAATATGGCGTCGACGTGGCCAGCGTTATTCTGACCAATGTGTCATGGTACGAGACTCATGGGGAGGTCAAAGCATAATGGTTTGGGATGGAATCGGCCTGAACCAGAGAGTGGATCCTGTGGTTTTCCAAAATCTTGGTTCAGGGAGAACAGTGCGCTACATCGATCAAGCTCTCAGACCCCACGTCATACCACATTTCGCACGTCATCGAAACAACGTTTTCCAGCCCGTGCCCACACCGCCAGAGTTATGCACTGGCCAGCCCTTAAACCCGACTGAACATCTTTGGGATGAAATTCAGACGAAAGGTGTTTTTTAACGACCACAGGTTAGTCAAAGTGGTTTGCATTGAACCAAATTTTCATCTTTAATGTCCATCTAATTCAAATTGATTACCCTAATCAGCCCTTAAACCCGACTGAACATCTTTGGGATGAAATTCAGAGGAGACGAAAGGTGTTTTTTAACGACCACAGGTTAGTCAAAGTGATTTGCATTCAACCAAATTTTCATCTTTAATGTCCATCTAATTCAAATTGATTACCCTAATCAACGAATTTATCGACACCGATTTCCGAAGCGATTACGTCTAATCGCCAAATCACCTCTTGGTGCAATTTGACGATTTGATCGTGTGATCACGTGTTTTTGACAACATGGCGTCCATCCAGCAAGAAGAACTCTTTACAGTTGAGTTTGATGGGAAATATTATCAAATGACTGCACGACAAGTTGAATTTATTACAGCAGGTAAGACCAGGGGCGTTTCTCTTGTAAAAGCCGACGAAACCAATTACTTAGCTTACTTCTTTTACCACTGACATACGTAAACAAGGATTATTTTGTGCGTTGTCATGAACACACTAGCCTAGGCTGCCGAACGAGCCCTTGAATTCCTACAGAAATCCTGATCAACACAAAACTAAAACACCGGATAAATTCCCGTAAACGTTTTTTCGTTATCAATTCTGATAATGATGCAATAATGTTAAAAACAGATGCTTCTGATATACCAAAGACATCAGCAACTCTTATTAGTGGACACTGTGTAGCTGCATAAAATACGTATGTCAAAATTTGTTTGTCAAATGGTATATATATGTTTGTCTGGTATATTGGTCACCCATCAAAGGAGCAAGAACGTCACACGATTTTTGAAACGTAGATCATTCCATTCGGAATCTAGCTTTAAACTCATCCATGGAATACTGTGGAACAGTAAATTCCACAAAATGTCCGATACGAGGACGGTCTCTTGTTTTTAAATGCTTCAGAGCTTCAGTTTTAAGGGAGGAGTCGGACAAGCTTCTTTGAAATAGACCGTGGGAAATATTGTGTTTGGGTCGGACGATTACAGAAGACTGGGACATTGTTGCAGAAAGAAATGTTAAAATAACACGTTTTTTATTACTTATGTTGGCCATATTTGATACCTAATCGGTACATTTAACGAACGCGCCAAAGTGCTTTGAAATCGAATATACTGTCACGTGACTTCACCACTAAATGCAAAGCGATTTAACAGGTCGATAAAAAAAGCCTGAACTAAAGTCGTACCGAGACCAAACACAGCCGATGGATTGCGCCAGGCTTTTCTGAGAGTGTGGTTCCAGGTGCCAATGGCGTTCATCGATCGTCTGGTCCACTCCATGTAAAGACGCTGCGCTGCTGTTATTGACATTCGCGGTGGACACACCAGATACTGATGTATAGACTGTGTACAGACTCTAAACCTTCTCGTAATGTCTTAGAATTGTGATGAATTAATCACTAATGTGTCAACATACTGTTCACCAAAAATTGCTTTGACCCATTTAGTAAGTCGTTTTCTAGAATGATTTGATTAAAGTGTATCTCTGATTATGAAATCGCACTGACGTTTTTTGGTTTTTTATGCTGTTTAGTATATGTACATTTAAACCATAAACTTTTTAGCACAACACAAAATTGACATAATCCTATC